TTATTTTTTATTTTTATAAAATTATTCAAGTTATCTCTACACCCAATGTGGGGCTCAAACTTAGAACCCCGAGATCAAGGGTCGCATACTCTACTGAGCCAGCCAGCCCCCACCCCCAAAGTGCACCATTTTATAATGCCTTGAGATCGCGACTTCACAGCTTACTACAAGAACTGACCATGCCATTTTCTGTTGTCTGCAGCACTTGTACTTCTTTCTACCCTACGATGACTAGGGAAGTGGTCAAAATAAATTGTTACCAATAGGACTTTTTGCACCCTCTTTACACGGCCAGGGTCGAGGTTACCCACTTTCTTCTTGCTTCTTAAGAAAGCACACCTCCTGGGGCACCTGGGTGGTTCAGTTGTTAAGCGTCTGCCTTCAGGTCATGTCATGATCCCAGGCTCCCTGCTCCATGGGGAGCCTGCTTCTCCCTCGCCCTTTGCCTCCCACTCCCCCTGCTTGTGCTCGCTCACTCTCTGTCAAACAAATAAATTAATTAATTAATTAATAAAATCTTTAAAAAAGAGAGAAAGAAAAAGAGAAGAGAAAGAAAGAAAGAAAAAGAAAGAAAGAAAGAAAGAAAGAAAAGAAAGAAAAAAGCAAGCAAGCCCACCTTATTGTTAGTTCCTAGCCAACTTCTTAGCATAGAGTAGGGAATCAGTTCACTGAATTCAACCTAAATTCCCCCAGGCCTTTGGTAAACGTGAATTCCTTGCACTTTGGGTTAGGAAACAGACAATGTCAGAAATTATTTTAACACGACTGTGGGCAAGCTGTCTGGGTAACAGACAATGCCATATGAAGATAATTTGAACTCCAGCCTATACCAATCGGAGGAAGAAGGCAGCTAACTACAACTTCAGTGAACACTGCCTCTGAGGAGGTGGAAGGATCAGAGAAATAAAACAAGATTTAACATTAAAATACCTATGCTCCAGGCACTGTGCCCACTTCATTCACCAATATTTTCTGACCTAAGGAAATTCAACACTGAAAGCTGGGCATTAATATCCCCATTCTGAAGATCAGGAGACTGCAGTTCAAAAAGGTTAGGGAAACAATCTAAGGTGACATGTTCTATGACTCTGCCCTAGGCACTGTGGGTGCAACCAACTACTGTTCTTGCCGGCGAAGACAATGAACTTGCTTTGTTACCGACTCAGTTTATTGTGACTTATTGTGACAAGTGTCCTGACATATTTGCACTTGGTTCTGCGTTCCTGACCTTCCAAAAACACAATCTCTTTCATGTCTATACAGTTTAGCCCTCAAAGCCCTTTCACATCTATAGGGGTAATACTCTTCTCACTATGGGGAAGGGCAGGGCCTTTTATGCCCGTTACACTTAGAATAATGCCAGAAGAGTTTTTTTAGGATCATCTGCTCCAAGTGTAAGTCCTTTTTTTCAAGCCTGGCTAGTCCACAGTCAAGACTGCAGGTGGCGACCAGAATGTCAGGTGTGGCTCTGAAAGAAGGGGAACGAACCTTATAAATTGTACTGATTCTAAAAGTAATCACATCTTTAAAAACAAAACAAAACATAAATTACATTGCCATATGGAGATACAAGAGGGAATCCTAAATCATTAATGGAGAAGGAAATGATTTCCTATATAGGCCATTGGCAGGGAGGGGAAAGAAGGCACAGCAGATTAAAAACCCAGAATTGCTACTGTTCCAAGTTGAAAAGCTAAGGAGTATGCAGTTTAAGACCACGGTGCAGGTATATATAAAGAAAACTAATATATACACACATATTTAGATGTGTTCTTATATCAAAAAACCAACAACACACACATACACATATGTGTGTATTTTCTGATACTAGGTTGCTGGATCCAGAAAAGTTGAGGATTTGCTTTGGGCACTGTACTAGCCCAGTGATTTAAATTATCATGATCTATGTCGCCCTTTTACAAGCAAGAGATTATTAAATCTGCAACGTATACACTTCCTTCCTTCATTTAATAAGCAGTGGCTACTACATGCAGACACTGCCCTAGGCACTTGGGATTTGGCAATAAATTAGACAAAATGTCTCTCTCCTGGAACTTCTATTTTAGTGGGGCAGACAACAAAGAAAAAATAACCAGGTGTGATGATGTGGTGGCAGTGGAGGGCTAAGAAGTAAATTGTATATATTATTTTGGAGAATACAATATCTACATTACTTGTCACAGAGTTATCATGAGGATCAACTGGGAAGGAAAGTCTGAAAACTGTTAGGCCTTATGGATTAATCCTATGAAGCATATGCTCCAACCTCTACTAGTCTGTCAACATTTGTGGTAATATGCATTTAGAGATTCAACAAGTGTTTGGTAGGAGGATGCAGATACATTTTGAATAATTTGTAATTAGTGAATCGACTGATGTCCTATTTCAATGAGCCATTTCATGATAGCAAGACATTCCAGGAGCCCACAAACCACACTATAAGCAAAGTTGATTAGGAGGTGAAAACACATGAGGGAGACAAGCAAATACATGACTGTAAGAATGGCTATGGAGTGAGAAGGAGATAGGTTGAATAAGCATCAGAAAATGAAACAACTGCATCCAAAGAATCTTGAAATCTACCCAAAGACCTTCTCTAGCAAAATTATGACCAGTGTGTCAACTTAAGAGGTAGAATTCAGCCCATTTTAAGCACTTTCAGCTCAAACTTTGACATAAGGTGCTCCTTCAAGCACAAAACACAATGGTGCCTCCTGCACTCAGTTTAAATTAAGTATCATTCGTTCCAAGTAGAACCTTCCTAACAAATGAGAGACAAATGGCCCAAGGACAGATTTGGGAGTAAAACGCTGCTTTTAAACAGTAACAAAATAACTGGAATTGGAACCAGGCCTTATTTCCTACTCTTCTGTCAGGGCTCTGCCATGACTGTCTCCCTCCTTGATGTGTATTTTTCTGTTGACTTTTTGTGGTTATCATCAAGTGGACTAGGTGGCCAAGCACTTGCTTTAAGGCATAGGGGTTCATGGAAATGGCAGAACTACCATGAAAAGGGCATTCTTTTACTTTGGTATAGGTAAACAACACAAAACCATTAGCAACTGTTGGGGGCGCCTGGCTGGCTCAGTCGGTGGAGCATGTGACTCTTGATCTTGCGGTTATAAGCACAAGTCCCACATTGGGTGTACAGATTACTTAAAAATAAGATCTTAAAAAAAAAAGTATTAAGAACTTTAAAAACTTGCTACTCAAAGTGTGGTCCACATACCAGCAGCCATCAGCAGGGAAAAAGAAATGCATATTCTCAGACCCACCCAGACCTACTGAATCAATTTCTAGGGGTACAACCCAAGGAGTCACATCCTGAAGAAACTCTCACAGATGATTCTTATACTTGCTAAAGTTTAAGAAGTACTGTTTTATAACACAAATGCACTAGCTCTTAGATACACTAGTATGGTTAGTAAGAAAAATCTGTTTATTTTTCCTAAGATTCAAGTGAGTGTGAAGGTTTTTCTGTTCTATCACGTTACTGGTCAGCCTTCATTTCACATGTATAAATATAAAATATGTAATACCTTGTGTCAAGAACCAGCAAGTCAGCAAAATAAAAAATGAACAGCCAAAATACATGCTATCAATAGGGACTCATAATTACTTTTTATCAAAATACTTATGTTCAGAATTATCCAATAAGATAAACACATTTGCCAGAGGCAAAGCAAGTCTACATTTTAAAATAATTTCTAGCATACTTTGTATGTGTATATATGTGCATGTGTACATGCACGTATAAACACATTTGTGCATATATACACATACACAGGTACATGTGTGCACACACATTTTGGCCTTTAAGGAGCTTAGTGTCTGTAAAATGTGGCCATATGGACTCCCTATGATTACAGATCCAAGGCTATTATTATTTTTTTGTTTTCCTTTAAATTTTTTTATTATGTTATGTTAATCACCATACATGACATCATTAGTTTTTGATGCAGTGTCCCATGATTCATTGTTTGCGCATAACACCCAGTGCTCCATGCAGAACGTGCCCTCCTTAATACCCATCACCAGGCTAACCCATCCCCCCACTCCCTCCCCTCTAGAACCCTGTTTGTTTTTTATTATTTTTATTTCTTTGAAAGCAACCATTCATTTAAAACTGAAGTACTGAGCATTTCAAAAATAGGCAGAAAATCAGTTACTATCACTGTGAGAACAGACTGCTCTCTGCACCACGGATTCCAACACTGAGGAGCACTGCCCAACAATACCAGGTAGACTCCTACCTACCTATTCATGAAGAATCAGAGGACATTCATCAAATATGTGCTACTAACCAATTAAAAAAATTTTATTCAAGTATAATTAACATAGTTATATTAGTTTCAGATGTAGGATATACTAATTCAGTAATTCTCAGTGCTAACCAATTTATTATAAACATAATAGAACTCGGGAAATAAAGTTCAGTAATTAAACACTGAATAAGCAGGCTAAAAACACTTTTTTTCTTCCAAAGAGGAATAAACTCTCTCTCTTACTATGTTTTTTAAAGGGGAAAGGCGGCCATTTTTCTTGACATTCAATTATTAGTTCATTCTTCACATAATTCAGGACACTAATGTTTATGACAGTGTGACTAGTTTGTCTGAAGAAGTTTTAACAGCCGTTTTCAAGAAGCTATTTCAGACAACACCTAAACTTCTACAGGAGCTCCACCTGCTTGTGTTTTGACTGCTTACAGACAAAACTCCTACCCTACCCTCAAACTCTTTCATTACCTTTACCATTCTTTACTTGCTCTGTTTCTTCTTCCATGATAGGAAAATGTTTATCCAAGAGAGGTGCACTCAGAAAGTGCAGTATTTCATTTTAATTTCTCCTATAAAGCAAAATATGAAGGACGGAAGGAAGGAGAGTAAGAAGGGAAGGAGGGAAAATAACCCATTATTTCCTATCAAATTCGATAAATATCTATCATGGAGAAAAGATGTTTGTTTATTTTGAAACTGTTTTAATTTACAAATACAAAACACCTTGGAAGACAAAAAAAATGAAAGAAAAACACAAAACATAGGCAAATTTTTACTTCATGAGCTTCTCAAATCCTCATTCACCAATCCCCAAGATGAAAAACTCTTCTAAAAAGGTATTCAGCCGCCGCTGTAAAAGAAAGAAAAATGGTCCATTTGAGTGTATAGAACATTTTAATAACAATAGTTATTTGAACTGCAATACGCTATAATTTTATGGAACTAAAATCAGTTATTTGAGAACCCCAAGAGAGCATAAAGGAGAAGAAACTGTACTTTGAAATCTTGGAACAGAAAAGATCCTTAGAGATTATGTGGCTTCTGCACAGGCTTATCTTAAAGACTCACAATCCTCTTTTGGGAAATGTGTTTAACAGTCTAAGTCTTATTTAACAGTCTTGTCTTCCTGAACAGGACGGAAAATATGAATTACATATAGGACAGTTAGTTGGTTAAGTTTTTCAATTTGATATACAATCAGCCAGTTGAAAATAAAGAATAAAACTAGCTCAACCGTTCCCAACTACAATCACTAAAAAACAGGGGTTTAATCATAATAAAAACAAAAATCACCTTTTCTACAAAAGAACTTCTAAATTTCAAAAGCCTAAACATTGTAACAGTATGTGGAGATATACATTTCAGTATTGTTTAATAATTTTTCTTAAGTAGGCTCCACACCCAATATGGGGCTTGAACTCACCACCCTTGAGATCAAGGGTGGCACTCTCTACCGAATGAGCCAGCCAGGCGCCTCTAGTATTGTTTAGTAATGTTAAAAGAAGAAAAGTAATTGTATTACTAGATGAAAGTAATACGCCTGAAATACTCCTGAATATATGCTTTAATGTTAAGTATTTTTACTGTTTATGTTATTAAATTGTATTGCTGTAACTAAAATATCCACAACTATGTAAGCCCTTTAAATTATCATACTACGGCTATTACTTTTGACTGCTATAATTGTATAGAAGAGGAAAAACTTTTATCATAAGGAAAATAAAAAGTGGTAATTCAGCCTAATGAAAGAGAAGCTTGTGATTATATTTCATTTGCTATCATCCCAAAATAACTAGAACAGTGACTTATGCTCTTTTCAAGCAGGAAAAAAAGATCTTTTGGTTTTACAGACGTCAAAGAATACCATGAGAAGAGTAAGTTTTGGTAGCTTTTCTCACAGAATGTTTTATTTGGTCTTCATGTTAATGTAAAAACTATCTGAAGGCAGATTTTTAACTCCTTAAACTCTGAAAGAATTTTGTTACTAGAAGACAAGTTTTCTAAGTAACTAGCTGTTGAACAATCACTGGTAAGATTGGTAAAAGATATTATGTGTTTGCCATGGAAAGAATTAAGAGAAAGGAAACCAAATACTTGTTTCAAAACCCTCTTGGGAGCAATCCAACTAACCTCAATCCAAAAGGGTGCGCTAAGAGCGCCTGTCCTAAACAGGCCACAATTTAGACAATGAAATAAAAGATTTTCTAGTACAAAACTAGGATAAATAACAATGTTGGATAGATTAAAAACTCAAAAGTCTTCCCTAAGGGAATCTAGGAAAAAGGAATTTAACAAGGATAATGTTCCATTCTTAAGCTAAAAACAAACCACCCCAACTGTTAAAACTCAGGATAAAGGAAATTTATTGTAGCAGTTATTCGTGAGAAACTGTGCAAGGATTTTCGCCGTTAGCAAGAAAACATCTGTAGCAGGCATTCAATTCAATCCGAAATACTGGATTTTAAGAGGACTGATGAAATGCAAACTGGAGCATGAAGTAAGGAATGTGACTCAGAATGGGGAGTGTTCAACTGAGCCAGAATGAGAGATGGCTCTTAATAAAGGTTAAAAATATAGGCTCCTGGGTCAGTCGGCCTGGGTTTTACATGCCGCTTTACCGCTTACCAGCCAAGCAATTTAAGTACTTATTCTTCATGCCTCAGTTTCTTCATCTATAAAATGAAAATAGTAGCGCTGATCTCACAGAAGTGTCATGAGGATTAAAGGAGTTGACTAATGCAGGAATAGTCCCTGGCACACTTGCCCAATAAATGTTAGAGATTATTATTACCATCATGACCATTAGAAAAAGATAAAAGAACCGTTAAGTTGTTCACTTAATTCAACAAACACTTATTCACTGCTTTTCATTGGTACAGGAAAGAGTATATTGGACTAGGTTCTGCAGTATACACACACGCTACAGAATACATATGTACACACACATATATTTACATATATTAACATTTTCAGCGTGTGTATGTAACTATCGACAACAGGATTACCTCAGAACTCATAATCTAAGGTGAAAGGCCCTATCGATGACTCAAGGCAGACAGTAATGTCTGGCAAAAGAGAGTTAAAAAGACAGTATTAAGTGAAGGCTGGGGGAAAAATGTAAAAAAGCACTCATATAACAAAATACTGAAAGAAAGAGACATCTGTTGTTCCAAAGGGTAAAACTAAGAACAATGAGGGGTGTTTACAGGAAGTAAGTTCCGTATCAATTGAAAATATTAACTGTATCATTTAAACCTGTCTGACACTGGAATGGGAAGCAGGAAGCACTGAGCTCTGTGGAAAAGAAGGGACTTCAGAGAAACCTACCCCTTCTGGGTGCCTGGGTGGCTCAGTTGGTTAAGCGACTGCCTTCGGCTCAGGCCATGATCCTGGAGTCCCGGGATCAAGTCCCGCATCGGGCTCCCTGCTCAGCAGGGAGTCTGCTTCTCCCTCTGACCCTCTTCCCTCTCGTGCTCTCTCTCATTCTCTCTCAAATAAATAAATAAAATCTTTAAAAAAAAAAAAAAAAGAAAAGAAACCTATCCCTTCTACTTACTGATAAGGTTAAGTGTAGCCCAGGGACACGAAGTGGCAGGTTTCCTAATTCTACCTGAGTATTCTCTCCATGATTCCAGAATTCCAGAGCTGGTATTCCTCACCAGTAATATAACAGATTTCTGAAGTGATGAGGTAGATTTGAAAGACTTGGTCCTTTCCAGGTCTAACCTTCACTGATCCTAAAGTATCTCTTTGTGGCACTTCTGCTTAATAACTACAACAACCTACTTAAAAAATTCATCTGACAGTATCTTTCAGTCACTTGTCATTTAGAATACAAATTCCACCAGTATCTATAGTAAAGTATCTAGGACTTAAAAGATTCATAGTTTACAAAGCATTTCTAAATAACTGCTCCAAAGCTCCCTATCCCATAGAATAAGCCTAATAGGTATCACTACCTCTAAATGACAGATAAAGCTCAGATTAAATAAATACAAGAATCATAGAGCAATTAAGTACTGCAACTCATAGTATTGTCTTTACACCAAACTAAAATGCCTGAAACCGGGACACCTGGGTGGCTCAGGTCATGATCCCAGGGTCTTGGGATCAAGTCCCTCATTGGGCTCCTTGTTCAGTGGGCAGTCTGCTTCTCCCTCTGCCTACCGCTCCCCCTGCTTGTGTGCTCGCTCGCTCTCACTCTCTCTCTGACAAATAAATAAAATCTTTAAAGATAAATAAATAAAATGCCACAAACTGAACTATTCAAATTGCTCATTGCCATTAGATTTCTCCATAACTCGTAATCAATTGGAAAAGAAAAGCGTTTAGCAAAGAATAAAGTGATCCCAGTGTTTCTCAGTGTTTCCTTCTCCTCTCTAACGTACTAAAGGTTACGAAACCCTCCATTAGTACCAGTGGCTCATGAGAGTCACAACAACTTCCATTTCAGTTCTTACCCAAATTTGTTTTTTAGAGTTTTACATGACTTAAGTCATTAATCTTTACTATAATCCAAGTAAGAGCTCTTAGCCTTATGGAATAAACTGGACACAGAGCAGCTAAGTACATTGCCCAAGGTCAAGACAGCTATTAAGTAAAAAGAAAAGAGGATCTGAACCTTTCGAGATCTGGTCTAGTTTGAACTCTATCAAGGCAGTGATTTTCAGACAGGGAGCATTTCTTCTGCACCTTAAAAACCAACAAGTTAATATACAGCATAAAGAAGACTTAAATTTGACTACTCGTTCTATCACTTGCTTTATCACATACTGAAGAGTTTTTAACTCACTTCCTTGACCCTTTAAAATTTTATTTATTAAAGAAAATTGTACCTATCTCAGAGTTGCTATAAAGATTGTAGAACATATAAAATCACTCCTAATTTTCAGGTACTCAAAAAATACTAGCAGACTAGCAGCATTAAAAAGTCAAAAGACACATCTATGTATAAACAAAACAGCAGGCAGTCAACTCAAACGATTTCCATTTTTTTTAAAGACTTATTTGAGAGAGAGAGCAAGTGAGCACATGTGAGCAGGGGGAGGCGCAGAGGGAGAGGGAGAGGCGCAGAGGGAGAGGGAGAGAGAATCTCCAGCAGACTCCCCAAGAGGAGACTGACGCAGGGCTCGATCTCACAACCCTGAGATCATGACCTGAGCCAAAATCAAGTGTCTGACTCTTGACCAACTGAGCCACCCAGGTGCCCTTCAACTGGTATGCTATCCTAGACCTTGTCTATTTCAAAAAGTTTACTTACACAATGATGTTATTAATAGGGATATGGATCAATTTCACAAAAAAGCCAATGAATCCCATTATAGCAAATCCTATTGCTGTTGCCATGGCAATCTTCTGGAATTCTGGATTTAAAGACACAAAATTGAGATTATTTTTTGCATTGTCATTGCAAGTATAGGAGAGAAAACTAACAGTGACATAAATAAACATACTAGTGTACATTTCTCCTGATAGTAAATATATAATTTTAAATTAAACAAAACATGGTATTAAGAAATAAATTGCCTGACAGAGTCTTAAATTTTCGAATTTTATTGATATTTAAGGACATAGAAATAAAGTGGCTACCCATGCTAGTGAATCCACCAACAAGCAACAAAATATTCTACCTTCTTAGCAAATGAACAGAATACCAAAAAGAAATGAAACGTGAATAAAAGAAATATACAGAATATGTTTTTAAAAGTTGTTATACTGTTAAAAGTATTAATTATAGAAACACAAAACATGACCTTTTTTTATAAATAGGCCTGTTGTCTTTGATATCATAATGAAGCCAGAAATAAAGCTTGAGAAACTGGGCTGGGCACAATCTTATGTAAATGCTTCCATTTAATGTCATTTCCTCAGGGACGGCCCCCTGCCCTCCTGACTTGGTTAGTCTTATTATGTGCTGTCCAAACTCCTATTTCTCTTCTATAGTAATTACCACAGCTGTAATTAAAGTGATAACTGCCATTCATGACTGTCTTCCCTGAAAGATTCTAAACTACCCAAGAGCAAGGACTATTCTCTATTACATGTTTTTATTATTATACTACATATGTATTATAAATGTAATATATTCTCTATTACATTCCCAGCTCCTAACTTCAGGCAGCACTCAAATGAATAAAGGTAAACAAATTCTGGTGCACCTTTTAACAGATGAATTACGATAAATAAGAATTTAACTTCCTAGGTTGAAAACAACTATACTGTTGATTTCATGTTAAGGTTTTGCTTAAGGGAGGAAAGGGGAGGGGGGCAGTGGCAGAGCAGGGAGGACTCCAAAAGATTTTCCAGAGTGGAAATATGGAAGATACTAAAAACTCTGAAGTCATTAACTATGACTAACGCAAACCTAACATGGAAAATAAGACTGTAATAATATTTCACCATTTGAAAATACATAAACAGAAAAATCTGTATAATGTAAAAAAGTACATAAAATTTAGGAAGAAGTGACAGGATTAAAAAGCAATAAAGCAAAATTAATCACTACAAATGCTGATGAAAATAATGCATGAGTTATTAAACAGGAAGATTTTAATCAAAGAAAAGACTTAGGAAAATGCAAAGATTTAACCTTTCCTCCCATTTTTAAGCTATTACCTTTTCTATCAGGTTTAGTGCATCTTTTAACCAGCCGAATTGAGTCCTTCACAAACTGCCGACTTGGCTCAACAAACTGCATTACCTGATCCATGGTGCCTATTTAAACAAAACAAAAAAGTAAGAAGATAACTCACTGGTATTCCTTATCATAAAGTAAGTACTTGCTCAGTTATATCAAAATGTAAAGGCGACCAGCCATGAATTCATGTCTGAGATGAGTCAATTCCATCTCATAAAACAAAAAAAAATACAGATTCCAAGCCTAAACTGATATTATTTTTATAAACTCCAGAGAAACATCAGATCAAAGGCAATAAGAAAAGCACAGGTCTTACCTACACTTTTATGCTCCTAACATAACAGGCTAAATAATTAACAACCCATCCTCTCCTTACCCACTCTGCGGTCTTCTCATTGTTCCTGCTAAGGACCCAGCCATGTTGGGATCCAACAAATATTTTCTATATTTTATCGTAAACTCTCAGAAACCAGTGTCAAGTGCAGTGAAGGCCAACTATGGTGCTGCAAGAGTCTAGACTAGAGGCAACATGGATTTCAATCTGATTGTTCTAAACTATGGCCACACAACACTTTTAGAAAAAAGTGTATTTGTGTGGAATAGATCTATAAAATTTTCAGAAGATTAACTAAACCAAGATCCAGATTCTGAGAAGCTATTACCTATACTCCAAACCTTCAGTTTGGACACACCTTTTAAGAAAACACCACTTATATTTCATCACATAGGTTCTTCTGAGACGTCTATCACCCAATAAAGAAATATCATCCAATCCCAGCTTTGAGAGCCACTGGTTATGAAAGAATGAGGCCAATATATTCCTTGCATCTTACTTTGTCTCTAGTGTTTAGAAGAGTGGCCAGGCACATGAATACTCAACAAATTTCTGTTAAACCAATGAATGAGTACCACTTTAAGAGCAGCTGGTGGTCCAAATCCCTGTCTATGAAAATAAACTCTCTAAGCTCCACTTTGCTCACTAGGGCGGGCAGGTGGAATAAAATTCTATAAACATTCTGAGCCAAGAACGTTGGGTCCCTCCAAAAACATACTTTATGCCTGTTTTCTTAGTAGTTCACTTAACTTTATTCTTCAAATCCAGTGGGCTTAAGCTTTGTAGATATTCTGAAGAAAGCTAAGGGCTATTTCTTCGGGGTGGGGGGGGGGGAGCACAATGCACAACACTGCGCTCACTTCCAGCGGAGGGGATCCAATAACACACTATGATCTCTCGATCTAGAATCTACACCAATCTTCCCACTATAGCCCACAGAAGTGGTGGTAGGGCCAGGGCTGAATACAGCTCTTCCGAGACAGGACGCTACACACAAATCCCCAAAGCCAAGCCCGGAGGGAACTCCGGCGGCTGGCCATTAACTCTGACTAGAGCACAGAATACACCAACAGCCCCCAACAGAGTACGAGTTGCACACAGAGGAGGCCGAGGGCAAACAGCCAGAAAGCCGAAGCCTGGGCCAGGACTTTAAGCGCTGAAGGACCAGAGGCCATCAGAGCCACTCTCCTTCGGGATCTCGGGAGGCCGCGGCCCTGGGACTTTGCTTCCACAGAAGGCCGTGCGAGTAGGTGTGTGGGCAGCTGAAAGCGCCGGACCTCGGTCTCAGACCTGAGCGATCGGCCCTTCCTACCGCCCGCCGAGAGCCTCCCGGCAACCCCCACCGGCTCGCCCACGCCCGCCCCCGCTAGTCACCAAGAGTTCATCCCCAAGCCCACCACGAGACAGAGCCTCACCTGCCCGCCAACGGCTCAGACGCCAGCGACACGTAGCACAAAAACGAACTGACCTAGGGCCACCGGAACCGGAAACCGGTTATCTGGCCTCTAGCCCGCCCACCCTTCCGTTCATTGGTCCTTTACGCGGAGACATCAGTGCGCAGGCGCAGCTCGAAGTACAGCTCGGACGCTCATCCCGGAAGAGGTACGCTGCGGCGCTTGATGACGTGCACTCTTTTGGGGTTTGGCATAAATTGAGATGGAGCAGAACTCTTATTGTTGGAAGGAGGGTAAGATGATGCAATGTTTTTGGAAAAGGTTTGACAGCACGCATCACCCTATTACCTCACCATTCCAATTTTAGGTATTTACTGAAGATATGTGAAAATATATATGTTATATGATATATGAAAATATATCCACCTAAAGACTTGAACAAGAATATAGCACATTTATTTGTAATAGTCAAAAAAAGTAAAGTGATTCAGGGGTCCATCAAAAGAAGAATAGACAGGATGATGTATAGAAGTGTTACTGTATTGTATACCTGACACTAATCCTAACACTGTATGTCAACTAACTGGAATTAAAATAAAAACTTTTAAAAAAGAACAGATAAACAAAAAGGTATATTTCCACAATTAAATGCTATTACACAATTGAGAGAGAGAAAAATGTATATATGCAACAATACTGATGAATAACAAAAACCTGGTGAGTGAAATAGGTCTCTGAGAAAGAGTGCATACTTTGCAATTCTGTTTTTAAGAAGTTCTAGGCAAGGTAGAATTAATGTATAGTGAAAACAGTGTTTGGAAGTAAGGATTGAGGAGGATAAGGAAATGGGTGAAAATATGTAACTTGACAAGGGTTAGGGTTACACAGGTGTCTTAGTTCAGGCTGCATAACAAAATACCATAGACTGCATGACTTAAACCATAAATATTTATTTCTCACAGTTCTGGAGGACAGAAGTCCCAGATTAGGGTGCCAGCATGGTTGGGTTCTTGGTAGAGGACCTCTTGTTTACAGAGGACTGTCCTTTCTTTATATCCTCATATGGCTGAGAGAGTGCTAGTCCTTCCCCTTATATGGGTACTAATCCCTTCATTGGGCTCCACCCTCATTACCTAATTACCTCCAAAAGGCCCCACCTCCATCACAGTAGTACTTCAACAAGAGAATGTGTTTGGGGAGTTCAAATGTTCAGTCCATAGTAACAGGTGTATGCATTTCTCACAGCTCATCAAATAGTACTCTTAAGGTCTCTGCATTCTACTTTATGTAAAATTTGCCTCAAAAACTAAAGCACTATAAACAGATATTGAACCCTGGTTAAACAGGAGTGAAGTATACAATTATCTGCAGTTTACTTAGGTAAAAAGGTGGATTCATGGTTTGTTAGAGGAATGGATCGGTAAGTGATAAAGCAAATATAGGAAAGTGTTAATTGTAGACTCTTAGTTGTGGTGGTGTAGGTATTCACTGAACAATTTTTATGTATGAAATCTTTTGTAATATGGGGGAAAGTATACACATCACTAAGTCAAGTTTTTTTAAAATTTTGTCTGACAAATAATGATGAATATAAATTGAAAGTATATGTGATAGAAATTTTAAATTGCCCCTTAATTTAAAAACACCAGTGAAATACTAATGGTGTCATTTGAGATAAGCTGAATTAATGCTCCATTTAGATTCCTGAATCTCTGCCTGAAGGAAAAGAAGTTGAAAACCCTGTGTAGATAGAAAAATTTTTAAAACATCACATTTAAGTAATAAAGCCTCTGGTTAGATCAATGAATATTTTACTCAGAGTTTTCATCTTTTGTTCCTTAAAGTAGGAAAATATAACCTTTAATTGCAAATGGGATACATCTATCTTTTTGTTGTATATTACCTAATCTTAAGTATCAGAAACTGCAAAGAGCTACATTTTTTTAAAGGGAGAAGGTGATGCTCAGTAAGTATAATAGACCTACACTTGGAGTAATACAAAATCATGAAAGTGTTACTAGAACTCCAGAAAAAAATTGAAGATTGCACATAGAAACAAAGAGTCTTTGGGGCAAAAATATTTTAGAGTTAAATATGATGAAGTCAAATACAGTTTTTAAAGTACTTTAAAGAAGTTATTCTGTCTTAATTCCCCATAAACACGATAACTAGAATAGGGCAATGAAAATGATTTGAGAGTTTTAGATGGCAAACACTTAATTACCAGCAACCCTACGTTGTCAGTTCTAATAAATAATTCTTGTTAGTTCTCTACAGCATTTGACACCATCAACTACTTCCTCTTGAAACTCTCTGCTACCTTTACTTTAGGATAACTAAAAACAAAAACAGAAAGGTACTTTCCCGACCATTTCTGAGTCTCCTTCAGAGACCTTATTTCCTGCACTGGTCCTGCCTGTATGGTCAAGGTAGGCTAACTAACACACAAACACAACATCTGGTTTAACATCATGTTTATTTCTTGCCCATACCCCATCTAAGGTGGACTTGAGGTAGGGATGTGGTCTGTTTTACACAGTCGTTTAGCATTTCAGGCTCCTTAAATTGTGTAGTGCTGCCAATTTCTAGGGCCTTGGAGTCTTCTGCTGCCTCCTTTACATCCAGCCAGGAAATCAAGGAAGAGAAAGAATGTGGAGGCTTGAGTGAGACTTTAGAGGCCTGAAAACAGCATCCATCACTTTCCCCTGAATCTCATTGACCAGAATTCACCATATGGCTTCACTGAACTGTAGAAGTCGCAGGAAACAGTTTCATTGTGTGCCAGAGGAGGAAGGAGACATTAGTATGACTGAATAATCAGCCAGTCTTTAGCATTTTCTTAGCTATTTATGTTCCTAAGAGTTCCATTCCCAAACTGTTCTTGCATTTTAGATTTTTCAGTTGATTCTTGGGATTTTGACTAGTATGAGTAGATTACTGACAAGTCTATATCTCTGATCAAGGGTTTTTTTTTAAATTATTTAATTAATTAATTTTTTAAAGTAATCTCAACCCCCAACGTGTGGCTCAAACTTACAACCCCGAGAGCAAGAGTTACATGTAACTCCACCAACTGAGCCGGCTGGGCACCCCAAGGTCTTGTTTAATGAAAAAAACAAGGTAGAGAAAAATGTGTACAGTATGTCACAACTCATCTAAGAAATTTTAATAATATCTCCACATATATAATGTTTTTCCAAAGATTTTTAAAATATATTAATTTAGAGAAGGAGAGAGAAAGTGCTTGGGTGCACACGATGGGGTGGGAGAGGGACAAGCAGACTCTGCACTGACCTGAGCCAAAACCAAAAGTCAGATGCTCAACTGACTGAACCACCTAGATGCCCCTATATTTAATTTTTTTAATGAAAAGATGAACTTTGAAAATTATATGACTACCTGTAGTGTAAAGAGAATAAGGATAGAAGCGAAACCTATTTGAATATATCTCATTTAGTAGATTTGATTTTGGAACTGTGAATATTTTATTTGATTACTTTTAAAGTTAATCTTTTAAGAGTAAACTCTTGCAATATAGAGCCACTGTTCTAAATTATTTTGAAACAGTAATCTGTGTGATAGAAGGATAAAATGAAAAGCATAAGCTTAAAGAGTTTTTAGTTATATTTTTGGTAGGATTGATGGTATTGTTTTTGAGACTTATTTGTGCATTATGGGATAAAATAAGTGAGTAATATGTTGATGTAATTGAAAACTAGAATTTTCAGACTTCCTGAAAGGAAAAGCAGGTAAAAGACTGGCATGGTTAGATTAAAGCCCTGTCATCTTTAGTTTGAATTGGAAATAGCATGTATTTATGGAGTATTTTATCTGAAAGAAAATAAACAAGATTACCTGGTTCTGTGCTCTAAAAAGGCCTAGAAACAATGTTCAACCCAGTAGCAATGAGTTCCTAGCTCTATACTATTTTCTAGGAAAAGAAACCAGTGCTTTGTGGAAAAATGGAAGATTCAAGGCTGAGGCAGGAAATCTATAGGATGAGTTTGGACTATTATTATCTGAGAAGGCTACTAGAGTTCTGTCAGAAGGACTCAGGAGCTCACCTGAAGAGCTTCCTTCTGGCTAAAGATGGGACAGTAAGGATGATAAATGCAATGTGTTGAAATGCATTGAATATGTTTAAATCCATGTGTTTATAATTATATCAAAAAACTTTTCAGTCACCTTTGGAGAATATAAATGAAGCATGTAATTAATTTGAAAACAGGCAAATAAAGGGTAAGAATCGGGCATTTATTCTAATTTTCCTGTACCATCTGACCAAACTCATTGATAAGGGGAAACTTCTTTTTATGAAATTATTCCAGGTACTAAACAGCAGCAACAAAATGATATATAGTGAGAATATTACATGTTGTACTAACAATGGATTAATGGACCTAGCTATAAATCAGATTAACAGACATTTCCAATAAAGGACCGGATAGTAAATATTTTAGTGTTGGAGGCCATAAAGTCTCTGTGTAGCTCTACTGTTGTAGTAAAAGCTGCCATATGAAACATGTAAAAGAATGGATGTGACTGTGTTCCAATAAAACTTTATTTATAGTAATAGAAGATCAGATGGTCCACAGGCCATAGTTTTCCAACCCACAATCTAGGTACTGCTTATCAATGCCTGATAACATCACAAAAGAGAGAAGATCAGACATGTACCCCTGAGGTAAGAACAACATAACATCACCTATGAAATAGCTTTGACAAAAGATAAGAATAATTAAACCTAATCTCTCATCAAAACTATAGATGTAATGATCGATTTACAAAAAATATAGGGACTGAAGAACATGTTAAACTTCACCAGGGGGAAAAAATGCACATTGGGAGACATTACAGGACAGATGGTTGTTTTCTAAAAAAAAAAATGCAAGGAAAAAAAGTGGAATCTATGAATTATATATATGTGTATATATATACACATATGAAGATCTATCCATTTATTTGTTTTAGAGAGAGAGAGAGCCAGGCAAGGGGCAGAGGGAGAGGGAGAGAGAATCCACAGGCAGACTCCCCACTGAGCACAGAGCCCATCATGGGGCTCAATCCCAGGACCCTGAGCCAAAACCAAGAGTC